CTTCTCAAATATATCTATTTCAGTAAGATAGGCTAGTCTTGAAAAGATCACTCACTATCTAAAGAACCTGTAACACTCAAATCAATTGCTGAAAATCTGTTACCTTGTCGTTTTCTGTTCAAAAGCCAAGTGAATTTGCTAAAATTCTGTTTGTAACAAGGACAGAGTTAAAGGTGCGTGACTGAGAAATGTTTTGGTTTCCCTCTGCTCTCTCTACCAAAAGCACTTTATTCAATGGCTGAAACGGTACTTTATGTAATCTGAATTTCAAAGGTAATGTAAATTTTCTCTAAAGTGAAAAAGTAATACACCAGTAGGGTTTTAAACCAGAAGAAATTTTCTTTTTACCTGTTTGAAGATTTCCTTCACATTAAAATGCTGGCTGATGGATATACTATAAGAAATCAACTCCCACAAAATAGCTTTTGGATAAGCCATTACTTCATTCATTACAATCTGCTTGAATGTCTCATTCCTGTCAAATTGAAGATCACTGTTTAGGAGATTAAAATATTAGAAATAAAATTAAGTGTGACTACAGTGCCCTTAAATCTAATTTTTTTGATAAATCTCATAAAACCTTTAGGCTAAACATTGTCATTGATCTGTTTATACTGAATACAATCACATCCTGGCTTGTTAGAGATTAGTTCATTACAAATAAATAAATGCACAAAAGTTAAGAAATATTTCCAATAAAGCCTTTTACATCCTTCCTTTTGGATGGGGAACTGTTCAAACTCTGCTTACGTAAGAGAGGTCAAATTACTGTCTTTCTTGGTAGTTCTACACTGTGCTCAGCTGTGACTGAGCCTTTCTGGTTTATTTTCATTTTACTTGAAAATAAAAACTAATGGTTCAAGCTGAGTCTAGATCCAAGAAAAATCAGTGTTTACATTGATTTGTTTTCATTTACATTTGCTTTGTCTTCTAAACAAAGATAACTATGGGGAATTTAGGTATGTATTCAGATAGGTTACATTGTATTTTCACTTGGTCTGTTGCCTCCGGCTTTTTAAAAATTGTACGAATGATTATTAAGAGTATCAAACCACCACAATCCCACTATAAGGCATGTAAGACTGCCCCTCATGTCCATATTGCTCTTCTAATGTGCCTCTGATCTAACAGGCAGAAAAGACCCCTGGGTGTGAGAACAGAGCTGCTTCCTCTCGGGTTTCACACCTGCTGCTAAAATGTTTAGCAAAAAGAGCAGCATTGTACCAATTTTTATATGGTTTTTAAGGTTGCAAATGCCTAATCACGAGAAGGATAACAGAGAGCTTACCAAAATTAAATACTTTGGCTACTTAAAGATCTTAGTCCCTGCAACTTTGAATGAGATCAAGTCTGTGAGTGCAGACGTGATGGTGCAGACCAACTTTTGATTCCTGTGATTCAAGAATCTGAACTACTTTTACCTTCTGAATAAGGCATGGATGTGATGGTATGCACAGGAATACTGATGTGGTATGGTTTTTGAATTATAGCAGTCTTTCTTCATCCCATTCCTAAACTGTGGGTATTATTTGCCTTAACCTTGTTCAATATGTGCATTATTTTATATTCTTACATGAAGTGAAACACTCTTTTTTCCATACCTTCACACAACAGCATAAACAAGGCCTAAGTAGTACAACCAGTGTTAAAATATGCTTTACTTTTATACAAAATTCATACCTAGCTCTAATTGATCTAGAGAAGAAAGGGCATTCTCCAAATATTCCTTCAGCTCTTCTTCACAGCTTGCCATTTTCATTTTTTCCAAAATTGTATCCAGATCATCTTTCATCACATAAGGCCACATTAAAAAGCTAATAAAAACAGTTTAGTATATACTAAAATCTCCATAACTATTTAGGATTCAAGTAATTTGATTATGAATGTATATTCCACACCAAGACCTTAGCAAAACTTATCATCTGTGAAGATCTTCCTTGATAATGAACAGCTCTGACACAGCCACCCCAAGCTGGCTGTTGTAGCTATGAGAATTTGGCATCCAACCGGACTCCATACCTGCACAAGATCTCATCATAGCAACTTACAGCCACTTTGTACAGAAAGCAGCAGTGATCTTTATCACTTTTGCCATATCAAGAATAAGACAGGACTGTCCATTCAGTGTGAATCAAGCCTTTAGCAAAAATGCACTTGACGGAATGAAACTTAAAAGTAGAAATTCCAATATAAAAGTCAGATATTTCTAGCAGTTGTTTTGAATTCCAGAGGGTTCTTTGTATTAAGAAGACTTTTCTTTACATTATGCCACATCATTGTTTTTATGTTTATACCTGTATTATGTCATCCTGTTCCAATCTGTATTTATCTACTTTTTCCTCAAGTACATCTTCCTGCTGTGACAGTTTGAGTAGATGGACATCCCACAGACCCATGGCCTCCTGAACACAGCTGTACAAGCCTCGACAATGCTGCTCATGCCATTTAGCCATCTCCTTAAAATCGCTCTAAAGAAAAACATTCCAGTGAACAACTCATTTTTAAACTGCTGGAAGGTGAAAGGAATGAATAAGAGGATATGTAACATGGGAAAAGGCTGCATGGAACTATACAAATGGTGTTCAATATTGTGTCTTCTATATGGTGACTAAAAAAAAATCCAAGTAAACTGGGTAAGAATGTGGATTTTTATTCTACAAGCTGAGAGTATCAAAACTTCTGTTTATTCTGACATGGCAAAGCACTGAATCATATTCTACAATTTATCTCTTTAGGAACAACTGCGTGGTCATTTTTATGTATAGAATCACAACATCTGGGAGATCATTTAAATCTATTCCTCTGCCTTCAGACAGACTGGGCCATACGTCATTCATACCTAGCATATGTATTTCAGATATAAATGATAATAAAAATGCAATATATTACAAACAATAAACACAGTAATTATGAACTCTTTCATGTGAAACTCTTCCACACCAAACCTTGTTTCTTTGTAGTGTTTAGTCACACTATGGAGCTCTTTCTAATGTGACATCAATAGCCTACAATGTAGAAGGCATTGCAGATAGGAGCACAGAAATAACAGACTAATGCCAAGAAGATAAAAGCAAATGTAATTTACATACATCCATGTGCTCCAGTTCTTCTTCAAACCTGTGTTTTAGTTTCTCAGTCATCTGAAGCATGTTGGAATGTACAATTTCAACATCTTCTACTTTGCAAATGTTCTTATCCAACAGGGTCATTTAAATGAAAAGAATAGCAACTTATTGACATGCATGACTTTCAGAAAGCATGACTAAACTTAGTGTTTCTTCTCTTGTGATGGACAGAGAAAGACTCAGCCTCCTATATCCCACATTTGTTTACTAAACACTACAATTCAACTGGATACAGAAGGAGAAACTGAGACAGAGAGCAAGACAGATTTGCCAAGATAGATTTAGCACAAAGGCTGAAGGTCCTTACATTCTCCACATAAACACAGGACAGAACCCCCTTCATTACTGGCATTTGTTACAGCTTTTACACATTTCAAGTACAAATGCCAAACACTACTGTGAAACTAAATGGATGGTTACTTTTTGAACTGACTAAGATAGAGGTTAAAAACTAATTTCACTTGTTATCTCAGTGTTTGGTGGATCCTCAAACACATTTTACTGTAATGGCACACTGTACCACGGGTACCACACCCAAAACTGGGACACTCACCTTGCAGGTCTGCACTTTTTCCTGACATTTGCCCTGCACCAGCTCATACTGGACACGCAATTTCTCCACAAACTCTGCACTATGGGTGTCTGAATGGTATGGAACAGACCACAGTCAACATTCTGTATTTCACAGTGCAGTGTGAAAAGGAAACATGACAAGAGGCCATGTGCTGAATCTCAGCAGAGGGAACAGATCCCAGCAGCATCACACATCTGTGTGACACTAACAACCAATCAAATAAGATGCTTTAATACACAGCCCTTTATAATCATGCTTAGAAGTAGCAAGTTATTTACAATTGCTACCAGCTTCTTTGCTACCATACGGGCTACAAACATCACAACAAGACGTGCTCTGGAGCAAGAGAAGGCAGGCACACAGAGGGAAGGCACCCTACAGGACATAGAGAAAGGAAGTACCTCCAGTACTTCTTCCCCTCTTCTTCTCCAAGAGTTAAAAAGGAGTATATTTTTGTATGACTGAAAACTGCTCCATGTCAAAATTAAACTTTTATTTCCCCAGATTAATTCTAACCAAGCCAGTTCCTGCTAGATGTGACCATGTACAAGTGTTTGTACCAGCCAAAGGAAAGTGATGTCACAGGCAGCTTCTTTGGGTCTTACTGCCAGCTCAAAGCAACTGAGAAGGCGGGATGGAACAAAGAATAGAGCAAACATGCACTTTCAAAGCAACTGTATGCCTCATCCTTGCCCAGGAAAAAAGAAAGTATTGCTTGAATTCCAGACTGTTTGTATGATTTCCCAACTTACCTATACTTGTGTTTAAATTCTCCAGAGTTCTGTACCATTCATTTAAGTCAGATTTTGTATGTGTTGGAGGCAACAAGGCACTATCAAAGTAGTAAACAAGAGTCAGGTATTCTAAAATACAAACCAGTCACGTGTATATAAAACTATTAAAAAATACAAAATTATGAATCAGAGCATCCATGCTACTGTGCTTTATTTTATTTACAGCCATCTTGCAATGAAAATCAACCAAAGAGACTGTTGTTGTTCAAGGCCAACTGCTTACTACCCAACAAAGAACTGTTATCTACCTTGCTCCCAACATCCACTGTAAAAAAACTCCCTGTAAATACAGTAATGCATTGCACCCAAAAATGCTTTTTGTGTTCAGGATGGATATTCAAACACAGCAGTGTCAGATTTCTATCCATATTCCTCTCTGAATTTATTACACAAATTAAACCCCTTGGAGAAAAAAACCCACCAACTTCTAGTTCTCCACCCATCTTTGTCTGCCCATTTCTACCAGTTTCAAATGTCAGTAATATTTACTTTTGCATTCCTGCATTTTTAGCCCACAATCACCACTTCTTTAGTGTAGCTGGTGCAGTGAAAATCAAGAATGCTTTTCCATTAAAAAGAGCTGTAGAAAAATAGGGTTTGACCCTGTCTTACTGCTGAATTTAACAATCACACACTGACAGAAAGCAAAGTGCATTTTGTAGCCAAGCTCCTCACATTAACTCCAGCAAGAACTGTTTTCCTTTATACTATATCCTCTTCTGCCATACCCAATATGCTGCGAAACCCTCAGTCTCTGTTCACCAAGTACAATTTGCTCCTTAATCATATTTTCCATTTCCACAGCTGGGGGATTCTGTACTTCTTCACTTGCCATAAATACTCTGCAGGATGGAAAAAAAGATATGTATAATGGAAACATGATATCAAACATGATATCATACATGATATGTATAAAGGAAAAATAACTTTTTTTAACTTGTGGTTTTATAGAAACCACAAGTGAACACTAGTCACTTTGTGTTATTCATTGTCCAAAATAAGATTGCAAAACTTCTGACCTGAAGCTCTGAATAACACAGTTCTTTTGGATGAGCTTCCAGTCCTTGACTCTCTCTTGCCACTTCAGTTGATGCAATTTTTCTTTCTCAAGCTCCGATTTCATTAGATTAAAGAGCAGCTTGGCAGTTGCCCTCTCATTACCCAGCAATGCTCTGCTTATATTCTGCATATTAAAAAAAAAAAAAAAAAACAAAACTAGGAGTAGAAGCAGCATACAACATGCAAAAAACGAACAAAAAAATATATCTTCTACAGAAAATGAGGTGAAAAAAGAATACAAATTTTTACAAATACCCTGCAAAGTAGAAATCTCTCTATATTTCAGTGATTGATAGGCAGAAAAAATTAATCTCAGCTAGGAAAAAAGACATTCTAGGAATATTCAGACTGCTATCCTGTTCCAGGTAAAACATTTACCATTGCCTTATTGTTTATGAGCTTGTGAACATCAGCTGCCAAGAAGAAGGAAATTTCCTCCAGTTTCACTGTATACTTGGTCAGTACCTCTGTTATCTGTGCAATGAAAGAATAAAGAAAAGAAACAACAAAACGTTAACTCAAATATCAGTATCCCAAATTAAAAAACTACACGAACAAGAGAATTTTTTCCATTAAAATTAATTCCATTTGATTTATTAATGATTCATTAATTAAAACTATTAAAGTGAATTAAAATTAATTGGATGACACGCAGATTGAGAAATAAATTTTAAAATATTAATCTTAGTTACTTTAAAGACTAACTTTTTCAGTAATTCATAAAAACAGTAACTAAAACATTCTACTTTGCTACTACTCAGCTGATTGCTCTTTAATACCTGTGATAATTGAGTGCTCTGCAGACTGGCCATAATATGAATTTAAAAATCAAACAAATTCCTTTCAAATATCTGAAGGGAATCCACCAGTGCCTGTTTTGAGTGAACACAAAATTAAAGCAAATGTGTTCATCTCTGACGTTTATCATAACTAATCCAACAGAAAGGTTACTGGTGGTACTCTTGGACCTATTCATCGTACCTGAATTACAAAAAGAGAAGCAACTGGCACTGGTAGAACAAACAGCTCTTCTTTGCCTACAAGGACAGTGCAGCAAGCTCTTCCACAGTCTATTTTTTTAATCCAAACATTTCCTATGATGTCCAATGACTTTTACAGGTTAGGCTGAAGACTACAAAACTGCAACATGTCTGCTAGCGACATCCAGCCAACCCAAACTAAAATCAAGCTAGGTCATGTCTAAGCTCCTTCTCAACTGCAGAATGGTTATGTCCCCCCCAAAAATAACAGACCAAATCAAAGTTTGACCTACACAACCCTCCAGGGAAATAAAAGCAGCTTGTATATTCCTTGCACCTTTAGCATAAGTAATTGTGAAAGAAACACCCTCAAACTAGGAAAAAAGTCGCTTCTCCTGATTATGTGGTTATCAAATGAATAGTTTATTGGGGAAAAGAAAGCAATCACCACACAACAGAACTACAGGCAGACCTCTGACTCCTTTGGAAACAAGCTACTCTTTGCTCTGCACCCAGCATTGTATCAGCAAATACCAATCTTATGCTTAAGTAACAGTTATTAAGACTGCAGCTCACTTTCATGGCTCCACTCCTTTCAGTCTCCTTTAGGGATGCATCCATTGCCCTGATACACTTCCTTCTGTTTGAGGACTCCTCGTGTATCATATTCCAGAGTTCTTCCAAACCCTGCAATAAAAATCTACTTTCAATTTCACTGAAAAGTGAAAACACATAAAAGAAAATTTAAAAAGTAAAAACCCAATAATTTTGGACTCCAGCAAGCCATAAGAAGATGCTACGCAGAGCAGATACAAGTAACTGCAGTTGAGCCAATGCTGAGTTGCCTTACTTCAAATGAGAAGGCTTCCAAAGCCATGTCAGATGCAACCTTTTCAAACAGAAGTTTACTCTTTTCATCTGATTTCATCACTTGAAGCTGAAGGAATTCTTGAAGATTCAAAACAGAGGCTGCCATCTCCTGTAACAGTAGGTCAGTGTGATCATTTGAATCTTGGGCCCTGACCTTAGAAGAGCTCCAGACTGGATAAAAAACTCCTGCCTTACCCTGCCAATGCAGCCCAGCTCCCGCTGCATTCCCATCACTGCTCTATCGTGATGCTTTTGCCGCCGTTCTGCCAGGTTCTTCCATGTACTGCTGCCTGTTTCCTCAGGAACTGCCAAGGAAGAAATGAGGATTCTATAGCCTGGAACTGTTGCTGCAGAACATGGGATGCATGAACAGTAAATGCCAAAATCGACACTATGACCGCTGTAGTTTGTGCAGCTTTCACAGTGTGCAACATCTTTCCAAGGGAAGTGCAATCTTAGCAAATGCAGGTTAAAAATACTAGGGCATATTTTAAACTTCTGATTTTCAGAAGGATAACAGCATAGAACTATCAATTAAGCTCAGGTACAATATAAAAAATTTGCAACATTTCAGGAATGAGATCTGATTACATCAGAACTGGAATTTATCATCTAAACATAACCTGTGATTGACCAACAATTTCACAACTGTCTTTTTTTTTTCTATTAGAAGCCTCGTCATCTTCAAAATTACCTACATATCATCAAAAATGTGTCAGGCCATTTCCCGAGCTTGATTTTGGTTACCTTGCAGGAGAAAGAGTACCAACGTGGGTGTAACCAAACTGTGTACTCTACTCCCCTCTACCTCATTTTATGATGACCTGCTAATGATGGGTGGTTTTCAGCACACCTGACCACCAGGATAAAAGTGTTAAAATGAGAGAGGCAAGCCCTGCAAGGTGAGGTGGTATTTCTTTATCCTTAAAATGATTCAGCTGGGGAAGCAGCTGCACCATCTATCCAGCGAGGGTCATCTGTGCTAATGGGCCATAATGAACTGATTATGCAGTAGCAGAATGGGAAGCTGAAACGACTATCATGTACTCCAAAAATATTCTAGCATTCATGGGATTACATCATTCCATTCCATTATGAAGCTCCCTGCACTGAGGGATGTACCACATGAACTCCACTGTATATAATTCAGGCAGTCTGGGGACTTGGGACACCACCACCACTGGATATCCAGAGGAGGATCTGAACTTCCACAGGGCCACCCGTTGTGGCAGCACATTTCTCCCTCTCTCAGGATTTTTCATAGAGGTGCACAGAGAGAAATTAAAGAGAAAATAATTTCTATTTCTGCTCCTTGTTTTTCTCATGTGGAATGTGTTCGGAGAATTGTTTACCTAGGGTGATTGCTTGATTGGATTCTGGTGAGGATGGTTTGAGCCTAATGGCCAATCCAACCCACCTGGGGCTGGACTCTCCAGAGAGGGTGACGAGTTGTGTTAGAGATATAGAGTTAGAGAAAGTAATATGTGGTTTTAGTATCTTCCTTTATATAGTATATTAATGTATTTTAGCACAGTTATAATAAAGAAATCATTCAGCCTTCTGAATTGAGTCAGACATCATAATTTCTTCCCATTGGGTTCGCCTGCATTTACAATAACCCATTCTGACAGGACTGCAACCACTGCAACCCTGACCAACAGGGTGCCAGGTGGTACTCTGACTTTGTGGTTTTAAACCAGTTTTGCTGTATCATTGCATTTGCTGTAATCTTTCTATTAAATTGTAACTCCGGTTTGAAATCTCTCACAAGGTAACAGCTAAACCTGTTACATGTACCACATTTCCTGTGACTGTAAATTAAAATAGATGACATTAAGGGAAACCAGTTTTACCAACTACATCGGGCAGGCCTCTGACTTCCTCAGCTGAACTTGCACCTACGTTTCCCCATGCCTCTGGAAAAGTTGTAGATTGTCTGAAACAGAAAGAGAATAAAGCTTCAATTTGTATTAAAAATGCACCAGAAGAAGGACTAACATAATAGTATAATACACTTTAATTGGCAAAATTTAACATTAAAGTGAACATAAGTATCATTCTAACTTTAAAGAATATAATTCAAAGAATCAAAGTTGCCTCTTCTGAGATGAACTGAAGTCTGGGTAGATCCCAATTCTAAATCTATTAGGATGGCATTACAGCAATATATGCTAGATTTAGAACATGTAAACTACAGAGACTTACAGAATAGCTCTAAAAGGTAAAAAACCTAGGAACTCTTAAGGAGACACTGGCAAGAAATGTGGAAATAGCCTTTATCTGCCCAGTGCTTTTCCCAACAGCTTGGGCACTGTGCTTGTCCTTGGGGTCAGTGAGAATCCCTGTATTGCTATTCAGCAGCTGGATCAGGGTAAAAAAGGATGGATGCATTAACTCCATTCTTGTTCATTACATTATCTTACTGCATCATCATGTAAGCCATTTACTTGGAAATACATCCTAAAAAATATTTGTCAGACTGGGTGTATATCTAGATTGCTAAGAGCAAAGACAATTTCTTTTTAAAAGGAAAACCATACAATATGTCTGCCATTGCAAATATTAGTCTGGTAGCCTGCACTTCAACAGGCAGCAAGCAGTTCATTACACTAAATTTACATGTGGTGAGGAGACAATCTGTTACAAGTCCTTAGTGCTATGAGCAAGAATACACGAGTATATAATTCCCGGTGAAAATCTGTCCATTTCATTCCTTTAGTTAAGGACATATAATTGGGGTTTTATGCTTCTGTTCCCTACCTGTCTGACTGTGGCTTTTTTGTGAAGTCACTGATGGGTGTTGTTCCAACACATTTCTGCTGATTACTCATCAGAAATGGCATGGCATCAGCAAACATTTCTGAATGCCTATTTAAAGGGAGCTTTTTACTCTTCTTAGAGGACTTTGTCTTCTTCTTTCCTTCATCCAAAAGGTGGGCTAAGTGAGCCTTCAAAGAACCATAATCTCAACAATTAGAATTCCTTCAAACCTACTGAATGGAGAACTGGGACAAAATAATGAATGAAAAATAGTAGGGGAAACACAGCAGAAGAGAAAGGTAAAACAATGAACCCTACATACCACACACATAACCATTTTCATCTAAGGCTATTTTCAAAATGAGAAAAAAAGAAAAAGGATAATCTTTTCCTCAGAGAGGAAAAGTGGACAAACTGGATGGTGTTGCCTTGCTTACAGTTACCAAAAAAGTAAAGAGCAGAGTGAGAAATGCCTGAATCTGGATAACTATGCCTTTCAATGTTTTACTGCTGTGTTATGATTCTGCCTTCAGTTAATATAACCTGATATACAACAAAGAGATGGGAACACATGGACATGCACTGGAGAGCATATGCTGGAGATAACACATTCATTTTTTACTAAAACAAACCAAAACCAGAAACTATGAAAATGACCTGGGGCATTTCAACAGCCAGAAAACTGACTAACACAACAAATTCCTTTGGCTTTTCCTCAATCCTTTGCTTTTTTTTTACCTTGGCCTTGAAGATCTGTTTACAGCCTTCCTCTCTGTGAACATGTCACACTCCTCTGTCGCTATAGGACACGAGAAAGCACAACGCGAGCCACCTGCCACCTTGCAAGGCAAAAAAGAGAGCGTTTATTTTCTGACTCCAACTTTTATACTTCTCCAAAGGTGACAGTGGATTGGAGAGTGAATGGGCCACCTCTCCGAAGACATTGGACAAAGCACTAGTACATCAAGTCTCTCCACCCCCATGGAGGAATGCAAAAGAATACGTTATTTACAGAAACTGTGTGGGAAAGTTTCCCAATAGAATGTAAACTCAGAAGGCTTAAGAAAACTCAAGAATCAGGGCGACATCTCACCCTTTTTAGTTTAAAAGAAAAGGAAAAATGAATAAGGTTCAGTGTCTGTTCCTGGAGGAATCATCAGAGTGATCACCCACCGTCATCTTCAACTGAGTCATCACTCGATGATCCATCCATTTGATGACTTTCAGTTTGGTCACGGCTTCTATGTTGCCCGTTTGTCGGATTCTGTCTCTGTGGTTGCAGATCAGGACGAACACACCTTGAAGGTACCCAGTGTACCCCAGTATCTGTGGATACACAAGCATACCCGCGCCCCGAAGCGATAAGGTCATAGGGACCTTCCCATTGTTTAGTGACTAAATTCCGCACTCGAACTTTTGCTCGAGGCTGATGTGCCTCGTCTGCAGCCTGCAATGAGAGATGATGATTTAAAATGACAGGGTTATTTGAATTCTGATGCACTGTAAGATGATTGATGGTGTACAATGCTTTCTCCAACCGACTGTGTGGGGTCTCACCCTGCATTCCCCGTTTTTGTTTTTGAAGAACCCGCTTCAGAGTACCATGAGCGCGTTCTACAATAGCTTGGCCGGTTGGAGAATGGGGGATACCAAACTTGTGTGACACACCCCACAACTGCAGGAACTGCCGCACCTGCTGTGATGCATAAGCAGGACCATTGTCGGTTTTCACAGCAGAAGGTATGCCCAGAACGGCAAAGGCCTGCCTCCAGTGGGCAATGACATCACGAGCCTTTTCTCCAGTGTGAGCGGAAGCCCACATCGCAGAGGAGAACGTGTCCACCGTGACATGCACATACTTGAGCCGGCCAAACTCGGCAATCTGGGTGACATCAGTCTGCCAAAGCTCCAAGGCCCTAAGGCCTCTAGGGTTTACCCCTGCTGGTAAAGGCGGAGCAAGTGCATGGCAGTCGTCACAGGACTCAACAATGCTACGAGCCTCTGTTGGCGTTAGCTGAAACTGCTTCTGCAGAGTATGTGCATTCTGATGGAAAAACCCATGTGATGCCTTGGCCTGTGCGAGTGTATCAGGCTGGGGTGCTACCCACGCCGGATTAGCCAACTTGTCAGCCCTCGCGTTACCTTCTGCTACAAACCCTGGTAAATTGGTGTGACTTCTCACATGCAGAACGTAAAACGGATGAACCCGGGCCTGAATAGCACACCACAAGGTCTTCAGTAAATGAAACAAGGCAGGGTTACTGACCTCCTTCAAAACTGAGTGACCCAACCGCTGTGCGATATCAGCCACATAGGCAGAATCCGTGACCAAATTGAAAGGTTCCTGGGAAAATCTCTCAAATGCCATAACAGCGGCCCTCAACTCAACCACTTGGGCCGACCCATCCTGATGACCTTTCAGAACCTTCCACTCAGATCCGTCCTTCCAAGTAACAATGGCCTTTCCTGTTTTCCCCGAACCGTCAGTAAAGACGGTGGGTCCTTGCACAGGTTCCTGACTATTTTTGGGCCGCAAAGAGATCTGCATAGATTTTGCCACCTGCAGTAGCTTGTGGCTGGGCAAATGATAAGTGATCTGCCCTGAAAAATTTTCTAGAGCACATTGCAGGGACACACAGTGTGCAAAGCTCCAGTCAAAGTCCTCCCGGGATATCGGGAGTATGATCTTTGCAGGATCCGCACCCATCAATTGCAAACACCGTTGCCGGCATTTCATTATCAACCGAGCAATCAACTCAGCCAATGTCGTTGCCGTCTTCTGCGGCTGATGGGGCAGGAAAACCCATTCCAAGATGTGCAAGGGATCGGACCATTTGTCACTCCATTGACCAATGATACCTGTGGGATGCGAATCTGGAGTGGTAACGAACACAGCAACATCAACGGAAAGATCAATGCGATAAACCTGACGGGCAGAAACAGCCTGCTGAACCTCCTCCAGCACCTGACGTGCCTCAGGGGTCAATGTGCGAGGTGATTTTAAATCAGAGTCTCCTTTCAACAGATCATACACAGGAGACAGTTGTGCATCGGTTAGTCCCAAGTATGGACGTAACCAGGTGATGACACCCATCAGTTTTTGAACATCATTCAGTGTCTTCACCGAGTGTGCAAATTGCACCTCCTGGTGTTGGATTGTCCGTTCCAGAATTTTGACCCCCAAATACTTCCAAGGAGGTTGCTGTTGAACCTTTTCTGGAGCCACCTGCAGCCCATGAGCATGCAAAGCATTGAGCAACCGAGGCTGAATCCTCAGCAGCTCATCCTGAGTGGACGCAGCCACCAAGATGTCGTCCATATAATGATACAGACGTGCATCAGGAAACTGCTTGCGAACTCCAGACAAGGCACGGGCCACATACCATTGGCATATGACCGGGGAATTGCGCATCCCCTGTGGCAGAACTTTCCATTGATATCGCTGTGCAGGCTCATCATTGTCAATTGCTGGCACCGTGAAGGCAAATTTCGGTCTGTCATTGGGATGCAAAGGAATTGTAAAGAAACAATCCTTCAAATCCACGATGAAGATCGGCCAGCCTGCAGGAAGCATGGTAGGCGATGGCATGCCCGCCTGCAATGTTCCCATGCCTTCCATTACAGCATTGACCTTCCGGAGGTCCTGTAACAACCTCCATTTCCCAGGCTTCTTTTTGATGCAGAAAACAGGGGTGTTCCAGGGACTGTTAGAAGGCTCCAGACGACCCTGGTCCAGCTGCTCCTGCACCAATTTCCAAAGGGCGATCAGTTTATCTTGAGGGAGGGGCCACTGGTTTTCCCAAACAGGTGTATCCACCAGCCACCATATAGGAGGCGTAGGACACTCTGCGCCCTTCGCTGCAGTGGCCCCCATCAAAAACCTGTCCCAATGCGCACCCCCCACGCAGATAGAACATCCCTCCCCCAGAGGTTAGCAGGAGAAGAAGTAACATAAGGCCTAATCCAGGCCGTCTGTCCCTCTGGGTTTGTGACCAGCACAGGCTGTTGGCTCACATAACACTGTGCTGTTCCCCCCAGGCCCGCAACAGACGTCTCCGCTGGATCCAGGGGCCAGTCCGGAGGCCAGGCGGCAAGGGAGAGAACCGTGACATCAGCGCCGCTGTCAAGGAGCCCGCACAGGCGGATCTCTGACGGTGTTGCATCAGGGATGGAGAGGGTACACAGCATCTCGGGACGGTCTTTGGTCAGGACAGCAGTCCAGTGAACTTGAGGCGGCCCAGTGGATCCAAAACCGCCATCACCTCACAACCGGTCAGTCGTCCTGCGAACAGAAGACTTAAAAGGCACAAGTTGAGCAAGCCGTGTCCCTTTTGGGATCGTAACAGGGGGTGTGGGTGTGGAAACCATTGCACAAATCTGCCCTGTGAAGTCTGCATCAATGAGACCCAGGTGCACAATGACGCCCTGAAGGGTGGCACTAGACCTCCCCATGAGGAAGGCGCTCATGCCTTCACCCAAGGGACCAAAGGCGTCCAGGGGAACCTTGTGCACCTTGCAAGAGTCTAACACGACTGTTGCTGCTGTGCAGACATCCACACCTGCTGACCCGCGGGTGCTGGCGACAAGCTGGCCGAGCAGACCTCCATGGGCTCTGGGGTCTGGAGAGGAACTTGTGTCTGAGCGCGCCCCCCCTTCGCGCTCCGCTTCCCGTTTCCCGGGCCCGGGAGTGCTTGGCCATTAACATGAACAGTCGCCTTGCAAACATCTGCAGGATGGCCTGGCCTTCCACACCGGCCACAAACATACGAGGGAATTTTTCCTTTCTGTGCTTTCTTCCCCCGTTTGGTGCTCGCCTGAGCAGCACCCCGGGGCTGCTGCCAGCCCTGCGGTGCTGCCCAGACCGGCTGCGCAGCAGCAGCCCAAGCATCCGCCTTCCGAACCGAGGGGCCTAGGTCTGCACAGGCCGCTGCCATCTGTGAAAGTGTAGCCCCTTCAGGAAGAGCCTGTATGATTCTCTTGCATTCTGCGTTGCAGTGGATCCTAGCAAATCTCGCAAGGACCATTCGCCTTAGCTCAGGTTCTACCACCTGCCGCTCCACCGAGGCAGTCAACCTCGATGCAAAGTGCATGAATGACTCATCGGCCCTTTGAACAACAGTCAGAAAGGGTTCCATCGGGGCAGCCATTTCTAAGGTCTGGATCACAGCTGCTAAGCCTAACGTCCTGCACTGCTCAAGCACGAGAGGATTGTATCCCGCCTGCCCCTGAGGATCAACATAATTACCTGTGCCCATCAACATGTCGGCGGTAGCTACACGTCTGGGATCCTGCTGCCCCCGCGTAGCATTCTTCCGTACTGCACTGGCCACTAAAGCGGCCCACTTGTCCTCAAACACGTCAAATTGCACAGGGTCAAAAAGAGCCTGAGCCACAGAACAAATATCGAAAGGCGTCAGCAGGTTAGCAACAAGTAATCGGATCGTCTGCATAACCTCAGCAGACCCAACACCATACTGTGCAACGGTGTCTTGGATTTCCTTCAACACCTTAAATGAAAAGGGCTGATGAGTGTTATGAGTAACACCCCTAAGCACAGGGAAAGCCTGAGGACCCCCTGGTAAGGCTGCATTATCCACTGTATCGTGTCCCGTAGGCTCCGGGACACTGGCAGCCCCTGGGCTGCGAGGCGGTGCAACATCACCGGACACCACGCCCCCCGCAGCATCAGCAGAGCCAGAGGAGCCTTCCCCTTGATCCGGCAGGCTCCGCGAGGGGCCGAAGTCGCACATCTCCTCAGCCTTATCCAGGACCTCCTGCCAAAACCGCCCGTGGTCCTTCGGACGCACGGTCACCTGGCAGGCAGGGAGGGTCCACAAGGTCGACTGGGAGGATCCGCGGCCACGGGGAGTCACCGGTCTCCTGCCGGCCGCGTCAGCAGTCGCGCTAAAGGTGAACACCCCAGCGCCCCGCTGTGCCGCAGTCCCGGCCCCCGCGGCAGGCGGGGAAGGCGGAACCGAACCAGCCGGTGCCCCAGCGGTGCTGTCTGCAGTATCAGCAGAGGGCACCGCGGCGGGCGCAGGCGGAGGCGCAGACCGCAACCCCAACGCAGCGCTCCCATCCCCCGGGACGGGGGAAGGACGGGGCGAAGAGGGAGACGCGGCGCGCGGAGACACGTCACCGCGGGACGACACAAGGGAGTCCGGCACGCCCCCAAGGAGCGTCGGACCCGCGCCGCGCAGCCTCCCGGTGGGCACCGCCCCCATCAGGCGGGACGGGGCGGGCTGCCCGCCTGCCGGGGCGGGGTCCGATGGAACAGTGACCAAGGCCCCGCCTTTGGCGGCCCCCACCGCCTGCGCATGCCCGTCAGGCCGCGCAGACTCAGGGATCGGAGCGGGTTCCTCCTCAGAAGATGAACCCGAGACCGGACCGGGCGAATGCGCCTGTGTCTTCCCCAGGGGAAATGTAACACCACAGTTCGGGCAATTCACCGTCACCGAGTCAGACGCAATCCGAGGCGGGGGCTGATCCACGGGCCCCCGTTCACCCCCGAGCGCCGGGAAGGCACAAAGAGAAAGTGCTTTCCCGCCCAGCCCACTACGCCTGCGACGCGGGGCAGGGCGAGGCGGCCGAACCGGCTCCACCGACCGGATGCCTGGAGCCAGTGGCCTGGGAGCCCGAACCACACCAGAGGAGGAGCCACCTTCCGGCTCACTCCCCTCGGGGCTAGGGGAATCAGGGCAACTGTACAGAGACTCGGCTTCCCCAGCATCCGCATCCAAGACAGATAGGTCCCCCAGAGAAGCCCAAGAACTGCCAACCTCAGACCCCTGCCAAATGGCATCCAACCTCTTAAACAGCATCATCAGCGGCCCAACATCTTCAAAACGATTATCAAGCAGGGCATCCATGAGGCGATCTCCCACGGGAGACCAATTCTCCCAGGAAAGGGCCTCAGCAAGATTGGGAAAGAATCCCTGCTCCCTTGCCCATAAAAACAGCCTCTCAAAATCATCCCAATAAAAAGGAACGTGTTTCCGCTTCAGCACCTCCCTCCAAACGTCCAAAGCCACAGACTCCTCCCTAATGCCCTCAAAGCTCTCCATTACCAAAAAAAAAAAACAACCCAGCAACAGGCAACGCGCTGAACAAACAGAAAGACCTCACCAACAGTTCCCAGCCTAAGCTGCAATACACTTCGGCGGTCACCAGATGTCGCTATAGGACACGAGAAAGCACAACGCGAGCCACCTGCCACCTTGCAAGGCAAAAAAGAGAGCGTTTATTTTCTGACTCCAACTTTTATACTTCTCCAAAGGTGACAGTGGATTGGAGAGTGAATGGGCCACCTCTCCGAAGACATTGGACAAAGCACTAGTACATCAAGTCTCTCCACCCCCATGGAGGAATGCAAAAGAATACGTTATTTACAGAAACTGTGTGGGAAAGTTTCCCAATAGAATGTAAACTCAGAAGGCTTAAGAAAACTCAAGAATCAGGGCGACACTCCTCCTATCGAGATCTAGTGACTAATCGCAGCTGAGTGGCCGGGCCTGCTTCCAGAAGAACTGGCAACTGCAAGCTGGGAGCCAAGAGGAGACACAACACTTCACTGGGAAAAGGGCCTTCCTTGCTCCTTGAATCACAGAGTGGTTTGGGCTGGAAGAGACCTACAAGATTATCTTAGATCATCTTCCAACCTCCTGCTGTGGGCAGGGGCACCTTGTGCTATCCCAGGTTGCCCCAAGCCCTGTCCAACCTGGCCTTGGACACTGCCAGGGATCCAGGGGCAGCCACAGCTGCTCTGGGCACCCTGTGCCAGGGCCTGCCCACCCTCACAGGGAACAATTCCTTCCCAATATCCCATCAAAACCTGCCCTGTGGCACTTTGAAGCCATCCCCCCTCGTCCTGCCACTCCAGGCCCTTGTCCAAAGTCCCTCCCCAGCTCTTTTGGAGCCCTGCAAGGGGCTCTGAGGTCTCCCCGCAGCCTTCTCTTCTGCAGACGGAACACCCCCAGCTCTCCCAGCCTGACCTAGAGCACAGAAGCTGCAGCCTCCAAAGCAGCTCCGGCAGACTCCCGGCGGTGAAACTCCACGCCGAGCGCTGCTCCCCTTCCCGGCGCTGCGGGGTCGCTCCCGGGGTCGCTCCCGCTCTCTCCCCGCGCCCCGCGGGCCCTCAGGCGGAGCCGCGCGTGCCGGTGCCAGCCCAGCGGGGGCGGGAGCGGGGCCGGCCCAGCCTCACCCACAGCGCCCCCGGTGGCCGCTGCCGCAGCACCCGGAGGCCGCCTCGCCGGTGTGAAAGACAATAGCATAGTTTTTGTTCATCAGGAAAAGTCCCAGGGATTGTGTAAGTCACAGGAAACAGTGGGGCAGGAGGGCAGGATGTACTGCTATTAGTAGATAGTGGAATTGAGAGATCTTTAAAAGCTGTGTTACCATATTTGGAGAAGTTATTGCAGGGTTAACGCTACCTCGGAGGAAAAAGAATAGGAGCTTTCCTCAAATGACCACTGGACAGCAAAAAAAAAAGACCCCTAGCAACACGCCGCGCAGATGCAGAGCACGTCGAGAGTGTAACAAAGTCGGGAACTGAAGGGGTATAAGAACTGAAAGACCGGGAGGTGCGGTGCGAGCCGTTGGTGGGAGCAGAGGCTCCCCGGCCGCCCAGCGCTGCATTTGCCCGTACTGCTTGCTTGCTAAATTAATAAAATTCTCTTTATAAAATGACACAAATTGGTCCCGTGTCATAATTTATCACAATTTGGTGCCGTGACTCGGATAGAGAAATAGCCTGGTTGTTCTGGGACCCTCGGGAGGCGCCCCGCCTTTTTTTTGGCGGCCCGATTGTCCCAGACCTCCCGGTCTCTCTACCGACGAACCTAAATTAAGCTGCGGGCAAAGGAGAACCGGTTACCCCTGTAAACTTTGTGCACGAAGATCCGAGCGAAGACGCAGGACGCGTGAGTATAGGCCGGTTTCCCGCTCGGTTTGGGGTGGTTTTCCCGGAGTGTTGTGTGTGAGAGGTCTCATAGAGACCAAGTGAGTGCGGACCCTCAGTAGTGCGGTTCCCAATACCCGAGAGGGCTTGGGCCACGAACCAGGGGAGCGTGTGTGTGAAAAATTGAGTGCACTCCGGAAGATGGGACAGAGGAAAAGCAAGCCCTCTGGTCCCATGGGTGGGGGAACCCCTGCAAAGCTTCCCCAGATTCCTGAGGATAGTCCTCTAGGAGTAATGGTAAATAATTGGCATGCCTTTCCCAGTAGGGGAAAGGGAAAAGATAAAGCAAAAATGATCCACTATTTTAAGGAGGTTTTGGAAAAGTTTGGACCCAAATTTGGGAGGTTTGGACCCAAATTTGGGGGATTTTAAAGAGGTTTTGGAGATTTGGAGCCGAGTTTGGAGGGTTCTGTCCCAAATCCAGGAGGTTCTGACCCAAATTCGGGGAGTTTTAAGGAGATTTTAGGGGGTTCTGACCCAAAACCAGGAGCTTCTGAGCCGAATCTGGGAGGTTCTGACCCAAATTTGGTGGTTTGGAGGCAGAATTTAAAGACTTGGACCTGAAATTTAGAGGTTTTGACACAAATCTGGGGGATTCTGACCCAAATCTGGGGAGTTGTGACCCAAATCTGGGGGGTATGGACCCAAAATTAGGAAGTTCTGACCCAAATCTGGGGGGATTTGACCTGGAGTTTGGGGGATTTTAAAGAGAAAAGGAGAATTATAAGGGAAATGGGGATGAGAACCTAGGATAATAAACATCAACAGGGACCATTAGCAGACACTAAAAGGCCCCTGCAAAATCCCCAATGGAATAACCAAGACCCGCAGCATAGGACCCATATGGACGACCTGCGGAACATAATCATACAGGGCATTAAGAGAGCCGTCCCTAGGGGACAGAATGTGCAAAAAGCCTTTAAGGTGCAGGACGAGAGGAGGAGGCAGTGAGACAGGAGAAGGAGATTCTCTCAATCCCAGTCCCGAGGACTAAAAGGCAAGTAAGGCAATTATTGGGACTATTTGGGTACTGCAGGTAGTGGATAGGAAATTTCAGTGGAAAGATAAAACTTTTATATGTGTCATGGTTTGACGCTGGCACAATGCCAGCACCCCATGAAAATGCAATTTATCAATTAAATATTGTGAAATGCAATTGAGAACAGAGTAAAGCAGGCTAAACTTAATAATAAAGGAAAAAATTTATTATACTATTACTACTGTTACTATAAAAGGAAAAGAAAGAAAAGGAAAAAAACTATACAAAATTTAAAATGAAAACTTTCTAAAATATTTCTCTTCTTATTACTTAACTCTACTAAATTATAGTGAGACTCATTTGGATCTTTAATTAAGTTTTTATCTTTTAAGATAATTAATACTGAGTTTATTGAGGAAGAGAGGAGTCCCCCTTGTATTATAGACTCTTAGGAAACACAGCTGCTACCTCTTGTGTTTTCATGTTATATGTGGCACTGCTCAGACACACTGGCTAGTGTGACACACTTTTTTTATGTTACAGTGTTCTTACTACCGTGCAGGGATAGAGATTGTTTATAGGGCTCTTTTAAGGATGCTTTGCTAAGGACTATTAGGAACAATAGTCTAGTGTTTTATTTCGGGACTATAATCTCTCTCATTTTCCCCTGGGGCAGAGGGTCTAAAAACAGAGATTGCTTTTTTTTCCTCTGAAGACGAAGGGCATCTTTACACTCTCTTTAGCTCTCTCCGTCTATTCTTGAACTGGAAGTTGCTGAAGGAGGTCTGTACCTTGTGATGACCGGAACCAGAGAGAGCTAATTCTCTTGGGAATTCTGCTTTTAACCCCTCTGTGTTCTCAGAGGCGTGTCTACTTTTAATTGGTTATTTTAAGTGTCAGTATCTAAACTTGACTCTTGACTGGATTGCACCTGTACTTAGCCTCCCTGATCTGAAGAGACCTTTTTATCTGTTTGTTAATGTAGATGGGGGGACAGCATATGGAGTTTTGGCTCAAGATTGGGCTGGGAGTAAGAAACCAGTAGCCTACTTATCAAAGCTTCTGGATCCTGTTAGTCGTGGGTGGCCCACCTGTTTACAGGCAATAGTGGCAGCTGCTTTGCTGGTAGAAGAAACTGGTAAGATTACCTCTGGAAGCGAGTTAAGGGTAATGTCCCCACATAACATAAGGGGAGTATTGCAGCCGAAAGCAGAAAAATGGATTACAGATGCTAGGCTTTTGAAGTATGAAGGAATCCTAATTTCATCCCCTAAATTAACACTTGAGGCCACTGCCCTCCAAAATCCTGCACAGTTTCTGTATGGTGAGCCTTGCTCAGAATTAGCACATGATTGCCTCCAGCAAATAGAAGAACAAATAAAGATTAGACCAGACCTGGAGGGGGAAGAACTGGAAACAGGGGATAAGCTGTTTGTGGATGGATCATCCAGGGTACTTGAAGGGAAAAGAAGGTCGGGATATGCTATAATTGATAGGAAAACCCTACAGGTAAAGGAAGCTGGTCCCCTGAGCCCCAGCTGGTCCACCCAGGCATGCGAATTGTATGCAGTATTAAGGGCTCTAAGATTATTAGAGGGAAAGGTGGGGACAATTTACACTGACTCAAAATATGCCTATGGTGTTGTGCACACTTTCGGGAAAATTTGGGAGGAAAGAGGTTTAATCAATTCACAGGGTAAAGGACTGCTGCATGATAAAACAGATTTTGCAGGCAATAAGGGGTCCAAAAGAGATAGCTATAGTGTACGTACGGGGACACCAGAAGGGCATGGGAAACACAATCAGAGGAAATAATCTAGCTGACCAGGAGGCAAAAAGAGCAGCACTACTAACTTTAAAATATAAACCGATGAACATGCGACGGGAGAATTGTACCACCTGTGGGGGTGGTTTGGAATGTTTTTGTGAAAGCCCTGAGGAGAAATATTGCTGTTCACATGGCCCAAAATTCATTTGAACATTTACTGTTCAAGAAAAACAAAAATTGGACTGAATGGGGGTATGGGAAAAAGAGGAAGGTAAATGGATATTACCTGATGGTCGGGAGGTGTTGCCAAAAGCGATGGCATTGAGAGTATTACAGGCAATGCACGGCAAAACGCACTGGGGAACCCAAGCACTAATAGACCAATTTGCTATTAAAGCTATGTGTATAGGGGTATATAACCTGGCCAAGCAGGTAACCAGTCGCTGTCTAACCTGCTTAAAGGTAAATAAGCAGCAGCAAAGAGAGAGAGTGATGGGTGGTCAGAGCTGGTTCACAGACCCTTTTCTCACGTACAGGTGGATTTCACAGAGTTACCTAAAATAGGAAGGTATAAGTACTTGCTAGTCATAGTGGATCACCTCACCCACTATGTGGAAGCCTTCCCCACAGCAAGGGCAACTGCACATGATGTAGTAAAAATAATACTGGAAGAGGTTATCCCCAGATATGGTATATTGGTGGCGGTGGACTCAGACCAGGGCCCTCACTTCACCTCGAAGGTGACAAAGGACATTTTTAATACTCTGAGAATACAGTGGAAACATCACACCCCGTGGCACCCACAAAGTTCCAGAAGGGTGGAAAGGATGAATGGGGAAATTAAGAAACAATTGACTAAGTTATGTCATGGGTAAAATGCTTACCCCTCTAGCACTGTTGAACATCCGTACCCAACCTCCACTGATGTGGGGGTTTCACCCCTTGAGATGCTGTTTGGGATGCCATATGACATTGAGGCCCCCATGAACCACCTATGTATAGAAAATTTTCAAATCAACACCTACATCACACAGATAATGAATAGGAGAGAGGAGCTCCAGAAAAAGGGGCTGTTAGTGCAGAGACCACCTTTGGACCTCCCCATTCACAAAATAAAGCCTGGGGATAAAGTACTTATTAAAACTTGGAAAGAGACCTGCCTGACCTCACGTTGGGAAGGTCCGTTTGTTGTTTTGCTTACCACAGAAACTGCTATCAGAACAGCTGAGAAGGGGTGGACTCATGCGAGCCACGTCAAAGGTCCAGTCACCACAGACGACCACTGGAAGGTGACCAGCCAGCCTGGGGACTTGAAGGTTACCATTAAGAGAAACTGATGAACTCTGTATACATCATTCAAGTTGGTCACAAAGGGGAGCAAGAGGGATATAATTACCTGCTTGTTAGTGATTATTTGATAATTTGTAATAAGGTAAACTGTGATTGTTATCCTTTTGTATGCTTTGCATGTAAAGTTTGCCAAGAACGGTGGGGAGTCCAGTGCCGAAGGGGGGGGGGCTGCCCACTG